TAACTAGCTAACTAGCTAACTAACTAACTAACTAACTAACTAACTAACTATCTAACCTACTTACTCGGAACGATGACCGTGTACACTGACATGAAACCTTGAACCTGCGGAAGGTGTGCAGGTTCCGACCCCGATTCCGGGGGACTCAGACTCCTGGTTCCGGCCATGAGTTACAGGTTTCATCCACCCCGGCCCGCGGATAAGTCTTCGCAACGGTATGAATGTTTAACGCCATCCCGTGGCGAGACGTCATGGGAAAGGCCCCATTATTGCCGCGCGATTACATTCAGATTCATGTGGCCGGAGTGGCTTGTACAATCTGCGACGCCCTTTGCCGCCATATACATATGTAGGTATGTGCGTATACAAACATATCAAAGTGCCTGTTGAAGGCATTTGGCATGTCGCAATCTGAATCTTGCCAGCTGGTGCCGAGGCACGCGAACTCCATCGTGGAATAACTTCACACGAAGTTTCTCCTCGGATGCATGAGCAACTCTCGCAGAACGCTCAGGTTGTTGAGATTTCCAGACGCAAGGAATTTCTGCAGGAGAAAGAAGACTACAAGCAAGTATCTCATTGATCTGGAAGTTCGGAGCTGCCAGGTCATCGGTTTTCTGTGCACATTACGAACGGTTACACGGCGTCAGTGAAATCTCAGAAGAGGTAAGTAAGCCGAGCAGGTCTTCGGATTCGGGTGCTGCCTGATGCCAGCGCACCCAAAAGGCTCCGCCGAACACACTATGACGCCTGGTCTCAGCAATATGCCTCTCTCAACTCAGGTGAGTGGCTCTTTCGTTCTTGGCATTCTCGACCAGTGCGTCTGCTAGCATGAAGCGTCCTGGCAGCTTTGCGGTCGGGTCGCAGCTTTCCACCAACGCAGGCTGATAGGCCTTTTTTGGCTAGGTTGATAAGGTTCTGCATCTGCGTCTTCTGCTCGTTGAGCTCTTGCCTGGGCCAACAAGTTTCAATCTGTGTTGAATGATACTCCTCGCTCACGCCCTGCCCTACTGGCCAGCAAGCCACTGCAGCCGCTTGATCTCGCGCTCTTTGGGGCATCCCGCCTGGCTGAGTAGCGCCGAAAGACAATGCTCCAGAACAGATTGGGGCGAGCCGAACAGAGCAAAGCTATGACACTGCTGGCTCTCGGCGTGTCCCCGACTTCCTCTGCCTGTGCTCAACCCTCGCAGTGTGTCTCTAACCTTTCAAAGCCTTCGGCCTCCTCTGGATCGTGGCCGTGCTCTGGGGTCAGAGTCTGCCGGTGCTTTCCTCGAAGAAATGCAGGCGGTGGCAAAATATGGTGCAGTTCTGTCTGGTTCTCAGGTGGACCACCTGTTACTTCGCACCAATGAAACTCTGAGCGGCGCCCACGGCTGATGGTCGGACTGACAGTGGCTTGGTCCGGATCGAGGCTGGGAACAGGTGGGTGTGGACGCTTGCTTCCTTGCGAATCACAAAGACATGAAGAGCCGTGGCTACTTGCACTGCAGGGATGTCCGCGTCTCGTCCCATCCCTCCCATGTCGCATTCCAGGCTGACTGACACACACGGCCGCTCGAGCCTCTACGATTCTCAGCCGCCTTTGGCTTCGTGAGTGGCTGAGCAGCCTTATGTACTCGTGCAATGCGCAGGATCTCTTCTTGATGACTGTTTCTTTGCGCTCAAGTCTTCCTTATGGATGCCTATGTTGAGGTTGGGCAACGTAAACTCGAGGGCCCTCGAGGGCACCTGTTGCCTGAGAAGTAGCAAATACAAGGCAAGGCCGAGTGCGACATGCCCATGGCAACTGCTAATTCTAGCCTCGCGGCAGCCTGCGATGTCTCAGTGGATTCAGGCTCTTCCTCTGGAGGTCCGGACGACGCCTCCTGCAGCTGTTACATATCCGACTGGTGGGTACAAAACGGAGGCTGTCGCTCAACTCACAGCTTCCCATCTGGCCATTCTCGACAGCGGAAAAGCTGTTTGCAGCTCAGGGTCATCTGTGCGCGATCTGCTTTCGTGTTTGGGAGTCCTGGGACTTGAGCAGAGTCTGTGGTCAGGGCCACTGCCTGCTACGCAACACTGCACACATTCATTCATGTACATGCGTGTAGATGTCTAAAAACAAACACACACATACACACATACACACGCGCATACATACATACATACATACATACATACATACATACATACATACATACATACGTACATACGTACATACGTACATACGTACATACGTACATACGTACATACAGCCTGACAGCCAGCCAGCCAGCCAAACAAACAGACATTAGACACATATATATATATATATATACATGTATACTTCACACACACATAAATATATATATATATATGCTTATACTTAACTTCATGTTTTTATCTATGTGCATGTATGTATGCCTCTACGTACACACACACACATATATATATATATACATATGCACGTACAGATATATGTACTCATATGCATCTATATGTGTATGCATGTATGTATATTATATATATACACATGTCTGTAACTATCGTATCTATCTATCGATCTACCTAGCTATCCATCTATCTACAGCAGTGATACTCCCAACATCCGCTACATGCATACATACACACGTACATACATGTACACAAACTCATACACACATGCACAGACAAACGGACAGACAGATACACATGCATATACATGCACAGCATATGCATGCACATGTACATGCTCATGCATACATCTACATAGACATAGACATGTATGTATGTGAGTATATATATATATATAATTAATTTATATAAATCACAACTACATATGTGAACACATCGGCATCAATATTTATACGAATAATGTAACTGTATATCAGAATTAGACGTCATAGACACTTCTTCTACTGAGGAAATTGCTTACGGACCACTCATTTTCTCTGGAAATTCTCAGGCTTTGGCGAAGGGTCCGCTGTGGCATCTGCCCCGTCCATGGCGACGGTGGATCAGCAACCAATGCGAGTGGGTAAAAGCAGCATAAAGTTTCTGGATACTGAAGTGCCGGTCTTGATACATCGCAACTGGTGAGAACAGCTATGACCCGCAGCACAAAGAATGGCCCGGAGACTACTTGCAGTCGTAAACACTTGGCTGTTCAACATCACGTCACTGTCCATTTCCCTACTTCGGGCTGCGAAAAGGAAATCAAGGCAGTAGCTCGTGTGCATGCTTTCATTGCAAGCAGGCTCTGCGTCAAGGAAATAAAGGGAACATCGAGGACTTTCCGATGTGGGAAGTCTCTCGCTTGCGAGCATTGTTCTTGCTGGGCTGGCGCCAAGGGAACGAGAGCCCCAGTAGATCCCCTTGCATGAATATCTGCCTGCGCTTATATTTCGTTCCTTGCGCATCCTGCAACATCTGTCTTTTCTGCATGCGACCGGGCCGAGTAGTATGCACTACAGGAAGGCCCTCAGCACAGAATTGCTTCTGCGCTTGGTCGTTGCGGGCAGCCAGTTCCATGAACAATAGAGCACATGCTCCATGGAGTGCACCTTCCAGCAAGGCCGTCTCCGTTCAGGTCGGAATGCTCCGCTTGCTTGGCTAGAATCACACCATCCCTAGTTGGCGAGAAGGCATGTGCAAAGGTAGCGTCAGACTTGCACTGCTGGAAGCCATTTGTCACTGGCAGCCTTGAGGTGTCGTTCAATCTTCTCCAGGTCCTTGAGGGACTGCCGGAACTCGAAGGGATGCAAATCCTGGCAGAAAACAAGCTATGGCTGTCGGATTCTCAAGCCCGCGCAAGTCCTGCATAAACTATCTTATCAAAGCCGTGATTTGCGAACAGGATTTTGAGAGACCTTTTCCACCTGTTTCCTTTCGAAAGCGGATTGCGAGGCAAACTGTGTGGACATTATGGGCAGCCAAGCAGCAGCTTCGTGGTTCAGATTGTCGAGACCTCGCGAGGATTTGCAAGTGGCGGAGGACGCATCCGTGCTTGCATGAGTAATCTTGGCTGAACTGCTTTGCTTTTGAGAAGGCCTTGCTGAATAGCTGCTTTGATCCTGAGCCGGCAGCAACACTGCGATGACACCCCAGTCTTGAGTCGTTGGCTTCTAGAATTTGAGAAATTAGACAGACAAGGCGCATCTGCCTGTTCTCTGGGTCATCCTCTATGGCAGCATCGATGAGCTGCTGAGCCTGGCCGGCCTTTGATCGGTACACCAGTGAGCCAGTGAGCATGGGAATCCACATTTCTGTCTGCCCCGAGCTGGATCACCCTCTTCCCACGCTGCATTACGGATTGAGGGTGAGTTCTTAAGGAGTGACTTGCGACCTTTACAAGAAGCTGAAGAAAGTCCTATGACGAGTCTGCGACTAAGCACTAAGCCTGCCGCACCTTAGCAAAGAATAAGTCAAGTTTGAAGGGTCAGACATGGTGGAGGCAAACGTCAATTTTCACATGAAGCGCGTTGACATTAATAGCGTCCCACCCAATATCTCCGAGTTGCTAGTTTCCGCCGTAAATTCGGCGTCTTCAGCCATAGATGCTTTTTCAGTGGTGGAGGGAGCTGAGAGATAACCCGCTCCTCACATGAGTCTGCAAGAAAAAGAGAACTTGCTGCCACTGTTCGGCCGTTTTCAATAAGTCTCCACATTGAGCTCATCCGCGCGGTGCTTTCCAGGTGCTGCAATGAAGCTCGCCGTCACCTGCAGCGCACTGTGTCATGTCGGCGAAGCTGTGAGGTTGCTACGGCAGTGACCAATGCAAGTCGTGGCATCTTGCACTCTAACATCCAAACCCTCCCCAAACACTCCAGACTCGCCAGGATGAGCTCCGATTATCATGCATGCAGGCCTGCGCCGGCAAACGCCAGGCATGGCTCTCGAGTACTTGCTTCATGGCTGGTGCTGCTAGAGAACCTGCAAGATGGTCGTGCCGGCATGAGCTAGCTGCATGACGGGCTGCACGGTCTGTCTGGAGCTGGACTGGCATTCTTGCGAAGTTTTAGTGTCGGGTAGCAGACGATGAATTTCGACAGGATTCCTGCTTTGATTGCAGGCTGGTTCATTGACGGTGGCTGGATCTGCTCTTAGCCGCTCTTGTACATGTGATGCATCTTGCACGCAAGAAACTCGTCTCCCATGGCTGAAACGAGCGAGTGGGCGGCAAACAACCAATCAGCATCAAGTAGCACTCTTTCAACACTCGGCGTGTGAACTCGGATTTCGGATCTGGTTCTGCAACAACGGACTTTATTGGAATACATCACCATATGCATCACCTGCAAAGGCTGGTAGGAGCATTTCACACTTCTGACGCAGCAAAGCAAGCAATAGTCCGGCATTCGATGGATCGACGCGTTGGTGCATCCTCAGGCGTTGTCGGGTCGTGGAAGGCTGTGTGAAACACTGACTGCGTTCTTGAAGGGTCCTTCTCGAAGACCTTGAACAAAAGACTCTCGTCCTTTCCCATCCGAGGGTAGTAGTACCACTTGTGCTCTGGAGAGAACTCGAGTGCATAGTTGCTCCCAATCCGATCTGGGAAGTGCATCTCATATTTAATGGCTCTCGAATAGTCCACTGATTTGGCATCACAAACGGCCAGCGGACATCTTGTAGCCGGCTCTTCTGCGATGCTTTTCCAGACGTTGATAAAACAGTACCTCGAGCTGAGGATTCGCTCGCAGTCCTCTTCCGACACTTTCGTGCCTGTGTAGCTCTCTGATCGTACCAAATCTCGCAGCCTGCGAGGCGCCGACTCATCCGTGTAGTCTGTGTGAACCCTCATGACAGGTGCAGCCGCTTGAGACGTCTCAGAAAGCACATTAAGGCCAGTGGCACCACTTTCGCGAATTGTATGGTCAAAAACAATCACGTCCGCACAACCTGTAGAATGTTTCACGAGTTCTTCAACTTCCGGGTAATAGCTTGTAGCCACTGCAACTGGATCAAAAAAGTTCGTGCATTGGGTCGCTTGGTTCCTCAGTTCGAAGCCAGTGGTTTCAAGCGTAGCGTCGACGCTCCTGCCATTTCGAAGATAAACGGAATGCTGCTCATGCTCATCTGCTAGCTCACCGATGTCTGGCACACGAATGTACCTGCCGGTTCGCTTCCCCGGAACCAACTTTTGGTAGGGTAGCTTGGATACCACACCGTCATGCGCCGCTGGACACGCATCTGCTTCTCGCATGTTGGGGGTTGGCTGTAGAGCGGCTTATCAGCGTTGCACAAGCTCGATGTGTGTCTCCTTTGGATGAACTATCGGATCAAGGAATTCCCTGAAACATGCTACAAGCAGGACGTGGACTGGCCGGGCGCCCTTCCACCTATGAGATCGTCGGGAAACATCGGATTATATCGGATTGGTGAGTTCGGTACCGTAATAGTCGCTGGCTTTCGGGCTCGGAGTGTTACAAACAGCAGCTTGTGGAGGTGCAGCCAGCGCAAAAATCAAATGCTTGAGTACAACAGATTTCGCCAATTGCGGCCAAATGGGTGGAGTGCAGTCGGACACGCAGCAAGGCTGTCATCAACTTTGATCAGTTTCGCGCGAGCGAGCTACTTCTCAAAGCGGCTTTCAGCCGGAAGGCAGCTTGAAAACCGCCACCATCGAAGCTCCTGCAGGCACTGCTCTGCAGGAACAACTGCGACAGGAAGTAGTGTCAGTGGTTTCTTTCCAGCTTGACTACATCCGCACGTGCTAAGGCCCTCAAGTCTCAAGCTTGGATCAAACCTGCTCTGTTGCACTTGAGAGGGCCATGGTTGCAGGATCTAGAATCTAGAATCTAGGGCACAAGTTCGCCGCTTCTGCATGAAGCTTGAAGCTTTGGCATTGTCATATCTCGCCCTCCGAGCACTGCTTCGCGCTTGAATTCGCTGCGAGCTGCAAGCCTGCAGAAGATTGAATCACAGTGTGCAGCTGATCCAGCTCTCCTCTCTGTCCGCCGCCAGCCATCACCAAGCATGGGAATCCTTTGCTGCATGCGCATGTGGAAAGCATTTTCAAGGCTTGGCTCTTTTCCAGGTCCGGTTACAACCAAGCGGCAGCTGGAACCGTTTCGATGCCACACCTCGAGAATAATGCTTGAAGTACGAGATGTGCTCTAACAGACTCTAGCAGTCATCCAATCCAGCCGGGTGCGCCGTGTCCTTTGGCTCGGATCGTAGACCCTGAAAGCTGAAGCAGCCATTGCCTGAGTTCTTCACATTACATTTCCTGCCGGACTCCGGCCATTGACTACTTTCGTGCATGTATCTGCCGGCCGAAAAGACTTTGCAAAGACAAGCGGCTCTTCCGAATTTGAGCTCGATGGACTACAGTAACTTCAATATACATGAGGACAAATTGTAGGGAATGCCAGCATTCACCTTCCAATTTCCGATTTCATTACCCTTGTTGAAAGGCGTGTCCGGAGAATCTAGGCGTCCGGCTGCGAAAAGCCTGCGGCTGGCCAGCAATGACGAAAAGCATCACCAGTGTGTCAAAGACATCATCTTCTTTGCTCATGCTTAATCATGCCACATCCAGTCATGCGGCGGAGGCGTCCGTTCTGCGAAGTCTTCTATCAGGCAGTGGGAACATTCTGATCGCCATATTGGTCCGCCTGGAACAACTGCGGACCGGTGATGGTTGCTGCCTCAAGGCACCGAAGTGGTCTAAAGAAGCAAACAGCTCCGCAGCTTTACTGTGTTTCCTGATTCCTTTGGGCCCGACTTGCAGAAACGCCTCTGCCTTGGCATGCACACTGTGCCAGTTTGCTCAGGGGTGAGGGATCCAAAAAAAATTAAATCAGGATCAAAAAAAATTAAACCACAAAGATCAAAAAAAATTAACTAGGAATGCAACAAAGCTTGGGAAAAA